TTGAGCAGATCCCGGGGATAACGCTAATGCGGAAACCAAGTGGAAGCTCTTCAACGGTGTCTTACTCGGGACTACTGCAGAATGCTTCGATTTGAAATGGGTTGGCTTGCTGCCTGAAGGTCACTGACTACTTCCTGGTGAAACAAGAAATATAACTGGCTTTCGTCGAGAAGAAGAGTACATTCAAAAGATGGTTTTGAAGCAATAAGTCTTCAACTCGAATGCAGTATGAAAAAACGCTCACGGCGGCTGCCAAAGTAGTAGTGAAATCCACAGCTGATTCTGGGAGAAGTTCTGTGAGGTGTTTGATTAGAATTTCCAGACGGCAAACAAGGCATTCCGGTAGAAAATCCGACGGCTCCAAGGTGAAAAGCAGGGCAGTCTAAAATCTTGGGGACAATACTGAACACACTCCTACTGAGTACTTTGCAAAATTCTTAACCCTGAGCCACCAGAGTAATACTCGCCATAAGAGCAGCAGGGAACAGCGATTAGAGCCTGTACATGAAACTGATCAACAGCGCTCTCTGGAAAGGTTCACAGCCGAGTGACGTGGTCAGCATGCTATTGAACGTTTGCAAAACGTAAAGAGCTATGCTTTCTTGTTCTCATGCCCACTGCTCCCTTTAGATTAACGGAGAAGCAGTGGGGCAAGAGGAGAAGTTCAATTAACTCATAGCCATGTTTATTGGTGATGGAAAATTTTATGAAGAGATCGACCGGTGAACTGAAACAGCCAGCGGCGTTCTAGGAGAGGTAGCCCGACGCAATGTGACTAAAACAGAACTCTGTCTGATAACTACGTTCTCGGCATTCAAATCTATCCCCCCAGGTATCCCCATGTTATCTACGGTCATGAGTCATGGACCATGACTGAAAAGCTTCGAACCCAGGTACAAGCGGCTGAAATGGACTTTCTGGGAGGAGTCGCTGGCGTTATGCGTCTCGACATGGTCCGGAATAAAGATAATAGCGAGAGTCTTGGTGTACGGTAGCTGCTTCTTCAGACAGAGAAGTCACAGTTGCGATGGTTTCAGCATGTGATGCAAATGCCCTCAGAAAGGAAGGCGAAGCAACCACTTCTTGCCCAGCCGACCGGCAGAAAGCCCAGGGGACGGCCAAGATTGGAGTCTTCTCGAGACTCCGGTCAGGTTAGCGAACGAAGAATGCACTGTCTGAAGAGTTTGCCTCCGCGACAAGAAGGGAAAAACAATTATGAAGTGATGTAAAATGATAATCCTATAATTGGTAGCGAAGAAATCCATTCTAGAAGAGAAGACCTGCGGTTTCAGCTCAGGAACTAACTAAATTTTTTAAAAGTGCAACGTTACTAAGAATGGTAGTCTTATTGTGGTGTGGCTTTAAAAGCACCGAAACAGGTTATGGATAGCAGGCATAATGGGATAGTGGATAATTTATTAAGATAAACTGGTAGTACATAATGTTTCCAACAACTCATTTCAATCTTCCATGTTCTGTCGTACGTGTCTGCCTCAGCAAATCAGTCGTTTAAAAGAGACTCTCACAGTAACTGTCCCTGGTGAATTCTAAACACATTGAAAACAGATGCCATTAATCAGACGAAGTAGAAAGATAAACATTTCGACTGATTGAGAAAACAGGAGAGTTGCAATGAATCCAAGTGGAAAACACCCAGAATCTGAATATTATCGATCTTTGAATATTCACCTTCAGGAGAGTAGAGTCCAGAAACTGCAGAGCACTACCTCTGACATGAAAATGGTAAGTGATTAATTTGGTTACTATCAACGGTACAGTATCCGTTTATACGGTGACCGAATGCAACTACATACGGATAGAGATACGGACATCATCTATGTCTAAAACAATCTGTAATCGTTACAGACTTACTTCCTGTGCAGACAGCGTTGGGGTGCGAAATGCTTGTTCATAAATCCAAGATGATTCCTGAGCGATCTCGTCGGCATCAGCCTCGGTCACAGGCGTGTATCGAACCTAAAAGCGTGTGCATACATCACTTATTATTCAAAACGTCTATAAAACAGTCTTGTGCATCAAAGACATGCCTGAAATCGTTCTGGTTTGTCCTCCAGCTGAATTTTCTTGTCATAGTCGCTAAGAAATCCGGCCTCAATCTCTACAGGTTCGATTTGCTGAACAATGATTACTAACAGAAGACTGATTAAGCAAATCTCGACATACCTCCAACAACATCTGCTTTTTCGCTGCCTTTTTGCGAATGACTCTGACACGTTTAGCTTCTTCTACTTCATCGCCAGTCTCCTCGTACTGAAAAAACAACACATCAACAAATTATTAAGCGCAACAGATATAAGCGACTCAACAGCACTGACCATAAATGTTTTAACTTTTAAACGAAAATAGTCTCAAAATTTTCTGAGAGTAAGTCACAAATTAGCCCTAAACCACGAGTTTCCAATTCATGGGTCGCGAAGGGTTTTGTGGA